AGGGTTTAGGGTTTAGGAGGTTCTTGGGAAATACCCAACTATACCCAATAGCAGCAACACAGGTTAGTATTTCGTGGAGTGAACGACTACCAGGTCACTCGTCTTGAGACTCAAATGGCGTATTCTTGAAATCGATCCCAGCCGGACACACTACAAACCCTGAACCCTAAACCCTGAAAGCTATAACTTAACATGTGCATGTTATTTCTGACACCCCAAAAGACCTGCTCTCCTATGAGGTTCCGGACTTTCAGTAACCTTAAACCCTAACCCTTAACCCTAAACCCTAAACCCTAAACCCTAAACCCTAAACCTAAACCCTAAACCCTAAAACCTAAACCCTAAACCTAAACCCTAAACCCTATTCTAGTGCCCTTCTATACCCTTAGGCCTGGGGTTTACCGCTTGCTTCTCTGCACCGCCAGTCGCCCGGATCGTCGGTGTCATGGCATCCGCTTCTTCACAGCGCCTCCCAGGAGGTGCCTCAGTTCCCTTTATGCTTGAGGGTTTAGATTTGAGGGTTTGAGGGTGTAGGGTTTAGGTTTGAGGGTTCAGGGTTTAGGTTTGAGGGTTTAGGGTTTAGGGTTTAGGGTTTAGCCTTGAGGGTTTAGGGTTTAGGTTTGAGGGTTTAGGGTTTAGGTTGGTGGGTCTAGGGTTTAGGTTTGAGGGTTTAGGGTTTAGGCTGGAGGGTTTAGGGTTTAGGCTTGAGGGTTTCGGGTTTAGGTTTGAGGGTTGGGGCTGGGGGCTTTCGGGGTTCTGTTATGGTTTCTACAGGATACTGAGTGTTTAGGATGTTCAATGGGATGTTTCTATGTTTGCTTGCCTACACTCACAAAGATCTTCCATGTTCCGGGCGCCCTAACCCCCCCAAGCCTACAAACAAAACTACCTTTTTTGCCCCTCATATAACTGATGTTACCGCCAATATGATATCTTCCCAAGATCTTACCAAGCGTGGCATTGCTCCACAAAATCCATCCTTGACATGGCTCGGGACCTACATACATCACGGTAGCAGCGTTGAGCCCCCCCCCCCAATTTTGGGTTATTAATGCGGCTTATATAGTTCATGGCGGTTGAATCTATACCAAGCAGCCGGCGATAGGCGCACCTAAGTAATGCAGAGGTCGGAATTAATTTAATCGTATTTCCCTCATAGTCTCTAGAAGTCTGGCATAATTATATGCCTCAGCCTCCGACCCCTTTCAAATTATTCTTGGGCCCCAAAAAACTCCCTAGACCACTAAAGCCAAAATCCTTGAAGCTTCTAAGGTTGGAAGTATGGGCCCCTAATATGGACCCTTAGGCCTTTCTAGGGACCCTTAAGGGTACATATACGGTAGCGGCCAGAAAGTTGGAACATCATTATCCTCATGGCCTCAAGGTAAAAGTAGAGGGAATTCCAGCACTGGTCATCCTAAACCCATGTTCCAACTTTCTGGAGTTTACTGTAGGGTATGTAGTAGGTGTATAGGGATCCCAGGGTTAAGGGCCCATACTAGGGGCCCATGATTTCAAAACCCAAAAGCTGATAAACTTTGTCTGGGCCCCAAAAAAACTCCCCAGACCACTAAAGCCAAAATTCTTAAAAGCCTATACCCTAAACCCTAAACCCTAAACCCTAAACGGTTTAGGGTTTAGGGTTTAGGGTTTAGGGTTTAGGGTATAAACCCAATCGGCCGCTACCAAGAAGGCCTTGTCCCTGGCCCGGTCAGCCTCCTTTGCTGTGCCGGAGCGATCGCCAGCCTCTTCCCCAGTTCTCTCGTGGGCGCCTAAACCCTAAACCCTAAACCCTGGAATTTAGGGTTTAGGGTTTAGGAGTCTAGGGTTTGGACTCATGGATCGGGTTGTTTCGGATGTTTGAAGGGGTTTTGCCTTTTTTAGGGTTGAGGGTGGGCGTTTTGGTGATGCCTTCTGATGAGATTTTCAGATCTTTGAGCGGGCTGTGTTGGAGTTGTTTCTTTTGCGGTTGTGTTTTTTGTTTTGGCTTCGACGATATTTGAAGGGTGTGTTTCATTCGGCATGATGAACAACATTGAAGGCGTCCAGTGTTTGCCATTGCCCCATTTCCGAGCCATGCAGCTTAAGCCCTAAACCTTTAAACCCTACCGCGCGCAGCAGTTGGTCCTTGAATGGACCATGTTGGGCGAAAGTCACGCCG